ATTACTTACGCTAATTGGCGCGCCAAGTACGGTCACGTCCTGCTGCGACAACCCCATTGAGGCGAGGCGCTCGCCTGAAAAGTTGTGTTAATCAACTAAAAACAATTTTCTGGATTCCATTTCGTTACCAAACGTACCAAGTTGGGGTACCAGCTGTTTGTCAGGGGTGGAATACAAAACCGGAATCACGAAAAGAGCCAGCGAGAAGCCGGCGTACAGCGAGAATAGCAGGAAAAGAAGATGCCATGATTTGAACAAGAATGCCCACTCCGTTCTAAAATTCCCTAGTTTGCTTTGAACAGTATTTCAGTAGTGTTTTGACTAAAACTGTATACCGAAGTCACTGACTTTAAAATTCTAAATTTTGGTCAAAATTTCGATTGTTTTACGTAGGCTTTAAAGACTTACTACTTACTTACTTTTTTTACTTACCTCCCCCCTATAATGCAAAAGAACCTTTGAATTAGCCTTACTTGACAACCATTACATAGCGATAGACGAAGTGTAGGGTGAGGCAAAGGACAATCTGAAGGAATCGTTATAATCGGAAACCTCCAATTTACTGATTTTAAGTGAGTGTTAATAAAGATTAAAGTATTTCGAGAATATATAGAGCGAAAAATGACCCTAAGTTAGAACTAACCTGTGATAGAAAAGATATCCATAAAAACATTAGCGGTGGTCCGGCAGGATGGGCTCCCATCGCGCCATAGCCGAAAAATACGACCCAGTTGCCGATCACGAGCAGGATCTGAATAGCTAGTTTTTTTCACTTTCACCCATACTCAAAAATCTTGACAGGGTGTCCCGAAAAAAGACCCCCCTGTAGCGGACCGCTGTCCGATTTTTACGATTAAGGTATCTATCGAAAGCTCTCGACGAGCTAAAGAGATATTTTTTCTCCGATTTTTAAAATTTGCAAATTTTTTAACCCGATTTTCATCGTTTTTTTTGGGCATAAACTACACAATGTTGTGCAAAAACTCAATTTAATCGGTTTCAGTCCCATCCAATCTGTGTTTTCACGAACTTTCAAAAAGCCGAACTTCGGCTGCCAGGAAAGATGTAAAATTTTGAAAAATGGGATTTTTTTCAAAGACATTGCATGGGAAAAGCACCGAAAATTCAGCCAATTTCGCAAAAATGTTAGTAAATGTTATAAAAATTCGGGAATTTCGAAAATCGGAAAGAAGATATCTCCTCAGCTCGTCGAGAGCTTTCGATAGACACCTAAATCTTAAAAATCGGACACGACTGCGGACCGCTAGAGGGGGGTCTTTTTTTGGGACACCCTGTAAATATCGGTTACTCACCGGTTCCATGAGCATATGCGTAATGGAAAAGCCGAGTTCACATAGCGAGAACAAGAGTAGAAGATATCTAGAGATCGAATGTCGTAAGGGTGTCAAACATTACATGCATTAATTTACTTGTATACTTTTATCCATTTGATTACTTACTTATATCCATGTAAAACCTTGGATTTTGTCGTGAGGATGAGACAGATGAGGGATAGGTTGAAGATGAGCGTGACGAGGCAGAGGCTGATTTCGATCCAGTGCGTCACGCCACGCACCCACGACGGATCAACCATCCACTGGTGTCGCCGTTTGAAGCTGATAGACTAGAAGGGGACGCCGTGAAGTGCCGTCAATTACAGGAAATTATTTAATTGTGGCAGGGGAAAGGGAAAAAGGGAAAAGAAAAAAGAGGTCGGCGCTCCGAAATTGCCATATAGGGTTTTCGGAAACGCCCGTAGAAAAGTCGCGCTCGCATCCGACTATTGTGGAGCTGTTTTTCCAAATGCGAAATGGGGGGAGACATTTTGCGTCTTCGCATCAATTTAGATTCTTTTTTTCGCGAAATTGGTGGAGGCTTTTTCAGCGTTGTTAGGAAAGTTTTCCTGGGGTGGCGCTTTATCTACATCAGACATCCGGCAGCCGATTACCCGCTAAAAGGCTAGTAAAACGGCAATATAAATTCGGCATATTTTAGGGGTTACTTTCAAAAGGTCGAAAATCTTGATGTCGAAATTTACATAAGCTAATTTCCCGAAAAACCCCTGGATGCTATGCAATACAATTTCGACATAGTGATTTTCGTTTTCGACATCATGGCAGCAAATCTTACTTTAGCCTTTCTTGAAAGCTAGAGTGTAATGTGCTGAGTGCTATAATGTGCAAAATGTAAAATCGATCGGTCCGATACTGGACAAATGTTGGCGTGACCGTTTTAATGGGACCTCCTCTAAGCCGGTAACGACTGCCATAAATCTCGGGGTAAAAAACAATTGCTAGTGGGTAGCAAGCCAGCGAACAAAATTACCAAACTCTGTCGAGTCAGAGCTAGAGACTCGAACCAAGTAAGAATTCCAAGTTGGTCGGATTAAATGTGTCGACCAACCCACACCCACCACAATGGCTTCCGGGATAGAGAGAGAGAGAGAGAGAGAGAGAGAGAGAGAGAGTGAAAGTAGCCGAAATGGACCAAGGGAGAATCGGACACGTACCCCAATTAGGCGGGATCAGGCATTATGGCAGGGGGGAGAAGAGTGGCCGTGTTTTGAGTTCAAAAAGCCAAACTGGCAGTTGTTCGATTGATGGTTGGGCTGGAAGGAGTCATGTGAAAACTTCACAAAATACACAGGAACAGCGCAGCTTCCCCCTCCCCAGCCATAAGTCCTCACTGGCTGTCAGATATTAAGAAATGCGCTCATGAGAGGTGGGGGCGCTCCGTTTTCCGCCGCGTTTTTCTTTGCGTTTAGCCTCATTCTTCCGGGGTTTTTAACCGATATTCATCGGAAAAGAATCGGTACTGTCAAATTGGGTACTTCTGCGATCCTGGGAAGGAAAAAAGGTGCTGAATGAGAGATCCTAATAATTGAACAACTGAAGCTAGTCAAAGTTTTCAGCTTTGTACGGATGAAGGGGCTTGGAATCATTGAATTGGGGCTAATTTGGGCAGTACATGTCTTTGTTATTATGATATTCCTTTATTGAGCGAATCGGCACCATCTGAGACAATTTCTTCTTTAGAGCCCGGGAAATACCAAAACTTTTTATTTTCCGCTTGGGCTTCTCTTTAGATCGGTTTTGGATCCCCATCTGTACCTTTTGCAAAAAAGTGCAAAACCCTAACGGGCTTCTGTCGGTCAGAGGAACCGAACCAGCACCCTCTGCCTGGAGTTGGGACCGGCGCCTTAGACCACTAGGCCACGCCCTCCCCCACCCCCATGCGCGCCCTGACAGGCAGTGTCCTATTAATGCGCCGAGCATCTCAAAATGTTGGCCATGGTCGAAAATCTAAGGAAAACTTGTTTCCTTGATGCAAAAATTCCTAGAAATATTTTACAAGATTTTTAAGGTTGAACAACTAAGTAATTGGACATTGCTAAAAGGCCCAAATTTCGATCACGGCTCCCAATTGACCTGAAGAACTCGGAAGCATACCGAAATGTAGCCCTTGATCTGGATAGTAAGAATACAGCACATTCTATTCGAAAAATTGCCAATAATGTGAATATTTGCGTTTGAAACCTGGGTAAACGGCACCACCGCGGCTTCTTTTCGACTTTTCAAACCTTGCAAAAACGTTCTAGCAACTTTTTAGGTAAGAAAACAACTTTGCGAAACGTTTTTGACTATCGCAAACATTTAGAGATTTTCGGCACATTAATAGGACGTATCGCTGAGGATATGGGCGGGGCAGAATGCACTCAAACCGAATCCACTTTTTAATTCCCCTATAAGCCGAGCATAGTTATTTCCCTAGTTTGTCAACAAAAACAAGGAACCTGAAAATAGCCGTGAGCAATATCAGGGGCACGTGGCCCGCTCCCAAACCCTTGAAACGGAAGAATGAGGGGCGGAAACGAGGGTCGGCACCAAGATTGGCCAATTATTTGCCGGGGGCCAGCAGTAGCAAGCGGGAGATTAGACCCAAAGCAACAACATCTGGAAAATGTATATTTTCGAGCAGCTCAAATGTGCCGCGACACAAATTAGCCGACATTATCAGATGCCCTCACTGTGGGCAACGTTGTTTCAGATAGTATCGAAGATAATAGAAAAGACGGTGCTTTTCAAATAGGCGGGGGGAAGATTTAGGGCGGGGGAACCAATTTTTTTGTCGGCCCTGGTGGGGATAGTAATCAAATATAAAGTGTTTTCACATTGTTTTTAGCAAAATTTAAGCCTATTTGAATCGGAAAAACTTTTTAAAAAGTTAGAAAAACGCTTGAAAAAATCGAAAATTTGGTCATTTTTGGGCCGAAAAAATTGCTTTTTCGACCTAAAATTAAATTTTTTAATTAAGTTTTGTAAAGTTTTTATGTTTAGGAATAGCTATAAACAACTTAGAAACACTTCCACTATTTATATAAAAAATATAGGCTTGGGCGGAAAAAAGTTCGGTTTCCCCCGCCTATTTGAAAAGCACCGAAAAGAGCAATAAAGCTATCTAGTAAAGACATATGACCCTCCAGAGACTGGACCCTAACGATGTACCCAGAAGCCTCAACGTTTTGGGTGAAAAAGTAGCCAGGCACTCCCCCAATGACGGGTAGGGGCAAGGGCGTTGCAATTCGATACGAGTGTCCGACAAGAGCCTGGCATTTCCATTTGCAAACAAACTAAACTTCGAACCAAATGTAGCGGGGTACAGTGCTCTTCGAGAACCTAACATGGTCCTGGGTTCAAAAGCCATCGCTGTCCGCGAAATTTTATGCAAAACCGCCCCGAGCTCCAGCGACCGTCACGTGACGCAACCCCGTGAACACATCAAATGATCGTTTTCGACAAAATGTCTGTTTGTTTGTGTACACCCATCATAGTGCCTTGACTTACAGTGAAAACAGAATTTATCGGCCAAGCGCCTTTCGCCAGCAAAACAACGAATAGCAAAGAAACGCTGTAAGGGAAAATTGACGGAAGGTAAGATCAGTAGCAAGGAAGAAATATAAAAACAACGATTGAAACAGCACTTCATTCCACGACGTCGCCCTTGGCTCCGAGACGCTGCGGATCCTGGCTGGGGTAGTAGATGGAGGAGCTTCCGGCGGGCCCAGAGGCATCGTAGCTGCTGAGCGTCGGGACAACCCGTGGCACTTTCAGCGGTGGACCAGTTGATGGGCCCGCGCCTTGTGCAGCAGCATGCCCACGCTTATTCGGGATCAATTCATCCGGAATCGGCAAGGCTGAAAAAGGTTCCGATGAGGACGAATGTCCAAGGCATACCGGTCGGAAGATTTGGCACCGGGTTGACGCGATAGTCGTTGCCGCCCTGGCGTTGCGCATATGGCGCACCCCAACGAATCGTCAATTTTCGGCTTTTCACGTAGGCACGGTTGAAAGATCTAGACAAATGTTAGCGAAAAAAAGAAAAGCTCCAACCTCTCGGCAGCCATTTCGGCTGATTCACGCGTAGTGTAGTTGACAAAAGCACAACCCTTGGCCGGAAGCAAAGACAGCTGCCGGATGTCCCCGTATTGGTAGAAATAGTCACTAAACTCAGTTTTGAAAAATGCATAATACGAACTTGAGATCCTTTTCAGTAATAACACCGGCAGGGCCGAGATTGCCCACGTAGAGCGTCGTGATGGTAGTATCTTCTGGAGGATGTAGTGAAGGCAGCGCCTTAATTCGAATTGTACCTCCTCACAAAAAAAACATACTGTTGCACGATTCAGGATCTTTTCGGCGACTGGGTCGTTGTTGCCGTAGTAGCGATCCCGCATGTTTTGCTGGCTGAGTGGATCATCGGGATCCGTCGGTTTCTCGTGGCTAAATTCATGTAAATCGAGCTGAAACCAAAAATGCCTACCGATAAGGACATTCCTCTCCACGCTTACATTCTCCTTTCACGAAGAAAGAGCAAATGTGTGGGGCATTGCGCTTGTAGTAGGGCCCAGTGCGCTGGAGACGTCTGAAATTTGCGAGTCTAAAAATCGAATTCAAAACCATACTTGAGCATTTCGGTTCCAGGATGATCAGCTCCGATCGTAGCAAGAGCTCCGCCAGGTGTCGTGCCATCTGTAGACGCCAAGGCACGTTCTTGATTTTGGACAAAGAAATCCCTAAAACGAGAGGTGGTATTCAAAGAAGGACCTTACCGATTGGCACCCTGGCGCGGCAGGTCATCGGTGATTTTGAGAGCATGATCACGGACTTGTATAGGGAGGCCTGAATTACAAAAATAAAGAGAAAATCGAAATATCTCACCAAATTCCAGATCGAACATGCACGTCTGGCAACAGTTCTTGATCTTTGCACACGTCTGGCAGATTTCGGTCATCTTGAATCGGGCGCCCTTTCCTGGTTGCCAGCGGAAATTTGTGAAGGGGCGCTCGCAAATCGTACATTCCTTGCCATACGTGTCTTTTTGCTAAAATGGCGTGTAATGGCAAAAGAATAACACACTGACCATCCGTAGATATGGATTCGGGCCCAAGCATGTCTCGCAGAGGATCGGAAACTCTGAATCTTCCCATCCTTTGCGATTGTAGTTGTATGAGCTCTTTGACATCGACATCTCGGCTAAAATAAATTCGCGTCATGGAAACACCAAAACAAAAGAAAGGTTCCAAATCTGATTCCCGAAAATCTTTTCCCGAAAAACGATCCCGAAAATAGAACCCGAAGAAAACTGAATCCCGAAAACTGAATCCCGAAATCCGAATCCCAAAATTCGTTAGCCCGAAAATCATTTCCCGAAAATCTGAACTGAAGAACTGCGGTTTGTGAACTGAAAAACCCTGGTACAATTCAACGAGGCGGGGCAACGTCCCAGCGCCCGCCCCTCTCTAGGCACCCCTGCCTATAGGCCCACCTCCCCCCGCCGAAACCCCCACCCCCCGTCTATTAATTGTACCAGAACCATTCTAAAGTTCCTGGGCGACTTCCAAGACGGTGAATTCAATATAGTTAGATTAACCGTCCCACTGCTTTTCAAGCGCGGTCTTCAGGTGGACTCGGGGCTCGATTTTCGGGGTTCAGATGGGAATCGATTTCGAGAATCGGATTTTCGGAAAACGGATTTTCGGGGATCCAGATTTTTCGGGAATCGAATTTCGGAATCAGATTTTCGGATTCAGATTTTTCGGGATTCAGATTTTCGGGAAAATTTCGGGAAACAGATTTTCGGGATTCTCATCGAAATCAATGAAATCCCATGAAAAAAATACTGGAAGAATCGATATTTAGCTGTTGGTAGAAACCAAAAACAGGGCCATTTTAAGGTTCAGACGATAAAAATAGACTTTATTATGTGATCAAAAACGAAACAAACAGACAACAATGGAAGACCGCGATTATTAAACGGCACCGGATAAATTAAAGCATCGGAAATAGGGCAAGTAGTTTATTGGTTCTTCAGAGCATCCCTGATCGCAGCGATGAGTCCATCTCGTGGAACATCCTAAACACAAATCAAATCAAAATAAAGGATGCTTACCACATCACGTTCCCCGTCCTCCCGCTTCTTTTGCACAACCCGAAGTTTGACGACACCGTCCTGGATTTCTTGTCCACCGACAATCAACATCAGCGGAATCTGGTTGCCTTCACAATACTGGCATTGATTCAGAAGCTTTGGGTTCTTTTTGTACGCCATTTCCGCCTATAAATCGGTAAGATGCTGAAAACTAGAAACACACCTTGATGCCATTATCCCAAAGCAGCCGCAACAGCTTCATCCGCTCTTCCAGCATGTCATTCTGCGCGGACGCCACAAAGACCTCTGTGGAATTCGTACGAGCCGGGACATCTTTCAGCTGGAACAGAAAATGAGACACCAAACACGAGTACTACCTTTAGTTGAGCCTCGCGAATCGCAAATAGGCGCTCAATCCCAAACGATACCCCGCAGCAAGGCACAGACAGTTTCCCGCCTGAGAAGCTCTTGACCAATTCATCGTATCTAAAAAATGTACAAAAATTGAGGATGAACGATACCTTCCACCAGCAGCGACAGATCCTACACCAGCGGGCAATGCTTGACCATCGGTGGCTTCACCAGATTCCTTCTTCTCCGTAGCAGCGCGCTCGGCAATCACTTTCCGGACTTCCTCACCTAGAGCAGTATAAAATAAGAATAGAGAAGCAATTTACTTGGTTCAACGACGGCCTCGTAGATAACGCCCGTATAATAGTCAAGACCTCTCGCCAACGAGGGGTCAAACTGGACAGATGTCGCGCCATAGAGTGCCAAATATTTGAAAAGATCCTGAAAAATCGATGATTATATGATAAAAAAACCGGACCTTTAATTCATCGGCTCCTTTTTGGAAAGCAGTATTCTGCAACTTTTCCAAGGCCGCCATCTTTTGCAACGTTTCAATATCAGTAAGGCCTGAAGCGTATTTTGCGAAAAACGACGAAAAAATACCTCCAACATCCTCGCGGAAAGGACAAAACTTCGTAGAGTCTCCGTTTGCTCGAGGGACATTCCTTTTTCGTCGATCAACTCCTTTTGCACTTTCTCCCACGGCTCCTTGTCAAGTTTATCGATGGAAGAGCAGACGGTCTTGAAGTTAGCCTCAGGCACACCGCTAGCCCCAATCATCGCATCGAGAAGTAGGCGGTGGTTTACCTGACATCCTTCCTGCAAAGACTGCTGAGCCAAGCTTACCTTGATTCGGAAATTTCCGACGTCCAATTTTGCCAGAACCTCATCAACGACTTTCAGGCATTCCGCCTCGGGCAGCATCTTCTCATATTCGCCGGCGATATCAAAGTCCTGCAAAACATAATGCTATCACAACTCAAGCACCTACACACTGATAAAATTCACGATATCTTCCGCGCGTCATCACCGGCTGATCCCTTCTATAGACCTTGGCGATGTGGTATCTATATCGGACCAGTGATTGTGAAGACTTATGGATATACCGTTTAATATTCCGGATTTTGTTCATCGCCAAATACCGGGCAAAAGGCACCGTCAGGTCATAACGCATGCTCAGCAGCTCGCCGCCCTGGTCTTCCAGGTCGTAAATCAGTTTCCCGCCTGTAAAGCCGTTCCATAGCATTAAAATGGCGAGTACCGTCTTCTCCGTACTTTGAGTTCAGCACTTCTCGGAGTTCAAAAACCGGGGTATCGATTGTTTCCGCACCGTGACGCTAAATGAAACTTTGGGCGATAGTGAAAGCATTACCTTAAAAGCATCTATGATGGTCGAGAAAACAGCCTCACGAACGGCCATCTCTTTCGGACCATAGTCCCGGGTTCCTAAAAACACAAATAAATGACCCGGAAATGCTAAAATACCTTTAGGGCACTTCAGCACAAATTTGCCCGGCTTTCCTTCGTCTCCTAGTTGCTTCTTGAGGGCTAACATTTTGGCCACACGCTCCTTCACCTAAAAAACAACATCAATAAGTACTTTCGCCAGACTGCGAGCTGACCCTTCGTCCGCCGCGCTCCGCGTAGGCTTTTCCCAATGGGACCGGCCGTACCGTGGCAGAACCGGTACATAAGCGCAAAAAGATGCGCTGCATCGAGCGCCTCCGAGAGCCGGTAGGCGGGCCGAGGGTCTCGCTCACTGAAATACGTAATACATACCAGGTCAGGGTTCGCCTTCTGCTCTTTGAGACCGCGAATCTCGTTGCCCAGAGCGGTCACCTCCTCTTGGAGGGCCTTCCGAGCCTCGACGGTGAGCTCGCACGGCATCTTAGTGAGGGTTAGAAAACGCGACGGAACGTGAAGTACAAAAAAATTCTGGAAGAGACGAAGAACTAGAAAAACTATCAAAAGCAACAACTAGACACCTAAAGCCCGAGCAGGGTATTTTAAAAAAGGGCTCCATAGTCATTGTCAACCTTTTTTTAGTGGATACCAGGGTGATGAAAGCTCCCCAACTCTGCAATCCACGCGGACGCGAAAGCCCACGGCCCTCTGCACGAGCCCACGTGCGAAGGTCCTCTTCTTAAGAAGTCTTGGCCAATTCTTATTCAATCTGATGCTGTTTTGCCAAAAGGTTCTATGCGCACAGCAAGTCGGTTGTGCCGTGTAGCGCCCGGAATGCGACCCCGGACTTGTAAAAAAAAAAAAAATACTCGCAAAGACAGCAAGTTGATGATTTATAAAGTTTTTTAGGTTTTTGGGGGGGGACAAACCCCATCTTTTTAAAAAAATTTTTCGGTTTAATAAACTTTTTACAAAATGGGGCCGAGGGAAAAAAATTTTTTTAAAAAAAAAAAAAAAAAAAAAATGGGATCCTGGTCCCCTTCCTCCTTTCTGGGAAATTTTTTTTTTTTCCCTCATCACCCCCCTCCCCAACCCCCCCCCCCGCCCGAAAAGAAAAATGTTCAGTCAACTGACGAGAGGGAGGGGGGGGGGCCGCACCCCCTCCTCTTTTTTTTTTCTCCAGTAAAAAAAAAAAAAAATATTCTAAAAAAAAAAAAAAACCACCCCAAAAAAAAAAAAAAAAAAATCAAAAAAACTTGAGGGGGGACGCCCAAAACCAAAAAAAAAAAAAAAAAAAATTAATATAATAATAATTTTTCTTAAAAGAAAAAAAAAATTTTTAAAAAAAAAGGCAAAAAAAATAAAAAATTTATTTGAAAAAAAAAAATTTCCCCAAAAAAAGCTTGGTTCCAATCAAAACGCGGAAAAATTTTTTTAGTTAGATAAGATGCGGGGCTTAGCCAACTGTGGTCATGGGGGGTTTATAAGAATCGTAAGAGCTAAATAAAAAAATCGTTGCGAGGGACATATCGTTCTTGCAAAATCAGTGGGAAGCTCATAAATTCTACAGAATCGACCGGAAAGCGGACAAATGGCTTTTTTTCATAAAAAACTACTTTATTTTGCGCAAAGAAACCGCGAGGTAAAAGCAAAACCGTCGGAGCCAAGCCAAAACCCGGGCCGAGGATTTCGTATCCCATCCCCCTCCCCGCCGCCTATTCGTTGGACCCCCTACCATAACCCCCAAACTGCACTCGGACGTTTTCGGATTTTACTTAGCAGTTCTTCCGAATTTTTCCACTTTTCATTCACAAAACCGACTGTCCCTTTCCCCATTTCAAACCGTGTTTTCCAAACTCCCATCCTTCACATTTTAGTCGATGTCCAGCAGCCTGCAGTCTGAGGCTTCAACGCTACTTGGGTCCCACATCTTCGTCACCGCCGCCGCGCAGAAACATTACGGAGATCGTCTCCTGCTCACTGACGTAGACCCCAACTACGCAGCACAATCCGCAAAGATGAGTGCCGGTATGGATTTCTGGCTTTTGGTTGATGTGTGTGTTTTAGCCATTCTCGATGAACTGAAGAAGCTGCGCCAGGAAAACGGCGAAATCAAGAACCAGATCGCCGCCCTCCGCGAGCTGATCCAGGGAATCGCGGTCAGTTTTTCTTTACTTCTTGTTTATATTCTCTGTTATAGAAGGTCGGAATTTCGGGAGCGCCCGCAGCGCTGCTTCTTCCACCTCCGCCTCCGCCCCCAAGGAGGAGAAGAAGGAAGAAAAGAAGGAGGAGGCCGCCGACGACGACGACTTCGAGCTCTTCGGATCTGATGACGAGGAGGTATGGACTATTTAGGGACCGGTGTATTGTCATTTTCTAGGACGAGGAAAAGAAGAAGATCGTCGAAGAAAGACTGAAGGCCTACGCCGAGAAGAAGTCGAAGAAGCCCGGCCCGATCGCCAAGTCCTCGGTCATTCTCGATGTCAAGCCCTGGGATGATGAGACGAACCTTGATGAGATGGAAGCCCATGTCCGCAGCATCGAAATGGTAATTTTCTTTGCGTGTATCAAGCATTTTGTAGGGTCTTAGTAATGCATAACCAATTATGTTTTTTTTTCAGGACGGCCTGGTCTGGGGTGGCGCCAAGAAGATCGCGATCGGCTACGGCATCAGCAAGCTGCAAATCATCACCGTCATCGAGGATGCCAAGGTCTCCGTCGATGATCTGCAAGAGAAGATCCAGGAGTTCGAGGACCACGTCCAGTCTGTTGACATTGTTGCTTTCAATAAGATTTAATTTTGTCATGCTACCACTACCATCGTTTTTTGATGTGATAAACGTTTTAGCCGCTCTTTGGTATCGCGGCACCGATATGGAACAGGGTCTATATTAGCAAGAGTTAGAAGTATTTCAGCTAGAATCCATCCTGGGAATATCAATATGTTGACGCAGAGGACTAGAGATTTTTTGGCCTTTGGTATTCTGTTAGCACCAGGCCGGAGCTATCCCTTGAGCCTTGCGAATGAGCAAAAAGAAATGCCAGCTGAAATGTGGCGGCACAAGATCTTTGCGATGGGGGAGGCGTGAAAAGCTGTGGGTGGCCGTTGTTTTTGCGGCGACAGATCGATGTGGAGGGCCTTTAGGGCGTTTTTTCTTGGCCAAAAACGAGAGGCGAGGAAGACGGGCCGAATTTCGTGCTCTTGAATCTGGCGCTTCCCGCTCTTCTTCGACGTCTCCGATGCCCCCAAGGGACGACGTCCGGAAGTATCCGGCCGCGGGCCCGTCCGACAATCTTTTTGGAAGCGAGGAAAAGTTTTTTTGCTTGATTTCCACTCGCTTCATTCCCACCTTTCCATTCAGGGCGCCCGTTCATTTCCTATGCCAGCGGCGGTGGTTTTGCGGGGACACGCTTCAGGCAAATGTAGCGCTTTGGCTTTCATTCATGGCGAATGGGGGCGGTCATCTAGTTTTTCAGTGGTGGGTTCGCTATGGCTAGATCAGCTAATATCAGGCAGGTCTCGCAAATAATTTTTAATTTATCTAAATAATACTTTTCCGCTTTGTGGTAGCTCTAAAGCATTCTGTCCATTCCATTCATGGCTCACCCAACAGAGAACCCAGTCGTCTAATGGTAAAGCATTCGCAGCGATGGCCTAGGCGATTTGGGAGGTGGATGGATGAAGGAGAAATAGGGCCTCGGGGGTGGGGGCGATTAATCCTCACCCTTTTCCGGCGGACACGCCATCCGGCCGCGCCCTGCTTGATAGTTTTCCCCCCGCGCGCAATAAGGCTGCATGTGATGCATTATTTGCATTTTTTTTCTGCTCGTTGCTGCTGGGCATTTTCCCGAATATCGGGCAACGAGGGCCTCATTATGATCTTTTTCTTTTATAGGGCCCTTACGTGGAGATTTGCTTTTGCAGGCCTTGGCTAGTTTTTAGTTTCTAGTTTCTAGATTTTTTCTTGGTACTGCGCTGTTAGCAAGGGGGATTTTTAGCAGTGGTAACCAAGTATAGCCTATAACAAAAACTAAACCGTTTGCAGGCATTTTAAGCAGTTTTTTAGATATTAAAAAAAATATAAAAATTTAAAATTTCTGAAATTTTGGCTCTTTATCAAAAAATATGAAAAAACCAAAAAAAGATAAAAATTTCGATATTTGCGGTTTTCCCCAAATATTTTTGTAACTTTTTAGCGGTCCAAAACTACTAAAAACACTGTAAAGATAAACTGATTGTTATTTTGCCCCTGCTAACAGTCCAGTACCGATCTTTTTTCGAATTTTGCCTCCTGAAAACGTAGCTATAGGGGCAAAAGCATGACCTAGAGGTTAGGCTTACGCCATCCAACGGACCACCAGCAGATCCAGGCGTGGGCTTTTGAGAGGTGCCCGGAAGAAGAGGAAGAAAAAGGCAGTCTTCTGGAGGGAGAGCTTTGGTGGAGGCGCTCGCTAATTGCATTTTGGGCCGACTTCCAACGCACACACACACGCCCAGGGGGCGCATGGCCAAACCCGGGTTTTGCGCGCAAACGTCTGCTTTTCACCCATCGATTTGCCATTATGTACTTTTGATATAATGCTTCCACACTGAATTTTATGTTCTCAGACCTAGAAAATAATTTTTTAAGCTCTCCGACAAGGTGTCCCGCTTCGGAGCACTTGTGCAATAACGGGGGAGCTAACTTTTTCATTTGTTCGACATGCCCTGTAAGGCAATTTAAACTATTTGAACAACATTTTACGTTTTTCTTGGCCAAAAGGAGAATGGTAACCCATTGCTAAAGGTTTGGTGCTGGTAATTAATATCAGCAATTCGGCAAAAAATTTGGTAATTTTTAGCAGGGGAAAGCGAATTTTTATCTCTCCGCCTATACCTGCCTCTTAATATTAATAATAAATCATGTGTTTTTATAGTGTTTTGAGTAGTTTTTCATTGCTAGCAAGTGTACAAAATATTAAAAAAATTAAATTTTGAAAATTATACCCATTTCTGGTGATTTTTCATACAGTTTTGACCGAAAAGTCTACATTTTTGGAAATTGAAATTTTCTGTGTGCTTTGATTTCTGAAAATACTGTGTAAAACTGTGTAAATGTGATGAAAATGGTTTTTATATATGGCCGGAAATTACTGGGAAAAATTAGTCCCCCCCCCCTAACAGTCGAAACCAATTTTTTTCGCTAGTTCCATCGACATTTAATGCTAGCTTTCATTGGATTGCCATAATTCCTTTATTTTGGTTGGTGAATGGGGGCAGTATGTTAGTGTCTGTGGCTCACTGACGACAGCTCATCAATATTTTAGCACGCCGTCGGCTGATTAGTTGAAGGGGGGCCGCCGAGGTCCCGGGGAAGTGTGCCAAGAGTTGCCATTTTAAATTTTTACTCACATTTCTTGCAAAATCCCCTATGCGGTTCTGGTTCATTAACGGGGGAAAACTTTTTCTTACTTTTTCTTCGGCTGTCGTACGCGTCCTAGAAGAGGATATGGTTTTTTTGCCTTATCGGGGGGGCAAAATTTTTCTAAGGATTCGATTCGATTTCGATTTTTCCATTTAAAAATATTTAAATTTTACCAAAAGCACGATTAAAAAACTTGCTATTACATTACTAGGCATTTCTGGCTTTATAGGAAGACGCCCCCCCCCCGTTAATGCGAAAGCACCTTTAAATATATACATTTTGTTTTAGTAGCGATTAACGCCAGTTTTAGGTATAAAGTTGTCATGATGATATCAAAATCCCTGAATAACTTGAATAATTTGCATTCTGTTTCCGTTTTTTATAACTTTTCAGTATCGGAAACACTATAAAAATCGTTTCCTATGGAGGGTAGCCCCCCGCTAACGAACCAGAACCCGCACTCCTTGTCCATCCCCCCAAAGCAGCAAGAGCTTAGAAAAATTGAGCCCGCGGCCTCGGCCAACCCATCCACCGAATGCAGTGGATTTTTTGAGGCTGAAAAGGGGAGCATAGAATCGGATTAGGCGCGACAATTATTAGGCTGCGGTTGTGCGCGCAAATCGGGTGGGGCCTCCCCCTCGCGGAATGCCGTGTATGAATCCCCCTCGCCGAGGGGCTATTCCATAGAATTCGGAATCCCCGCTGGTGCTCCGGGTCGCCATGGCGATATTTACGCCTTCGGAGGGTCCGTCCCGCCATTCGGGGCTTCGCCAAGATTTCAGTTGAAATACTGGATGATGTCTCTCTTCGGTTGCCTATTGGAATCTCTAAAATCTTCTATTCTTAAGTTCGAACTTTCATTAAAATGTTTAGATTCTCGATATTTTCATAGCTCTCTCTCTCACTCGCTCGCTCTCACTCTCTCGCTCTCGCTCTAACTCGCTCTCTCGCTCTCACTCACTCACTCACTCTCTCTCTCTGTCTCTCGGTCCCTCTCTTCTTTTGACCACACAAGGCTATTTTTGTTTGTTTTAGGACTACCTTTTTTCACTATAAACTGTGTTATATTTATCAAAGCGCTTCCTAAAGCCATACTTAGATTTGATCCGACAATGCCGACAGGGTGAACAGCCCCGTCACCAACATCGCCAAGCTGCCGCTGAAAAGTGAGTTTTTACCTGCATTGCGCTGATTATGCAATATGCGATGCAAAACCACACTTTGATTTTCATAGGTTTGGCGCTGAAGCTGCGGAAGAACAGCGCCGCCCGCCAGAAACGCATCGATGAGTCGTTCTCGATTGCGGCTCGCCGGCGGAATTCCGTCGAAAAGTGGGTTCCACCGTTTGTTGGCGTTAGTGTTTTTCCGTAACTGTCGTAAACCCGTTGTCTTTATCTTTATCGCCACACTAAATATCTCATCGACATTGTGGCCCTCTCATCCGCTTCGTCGGGTCGTGTCATTGCGCCGGAATGTTGTGTTGTCTGGCTTATTCCGGACGGAAATCTGAGCCCCTTTCGCCCTTCCACTTCTTCTTCTTCTTCTTCGTCTACCAGCCACCCTAGCCGCCTCCCATTTCTCACGCATTATCCCCCCGACTTGGCATGTTCGGCATGTCGGCAGGTTGTCGCGGGAAATCCACTTGACTTCTGGCCACGCCGGCACATTTATGGAATTATTTTTGGAAAAGTTCTGATAATATTTGGATCTTTCAAATTTTCGGCCATCTTGCAGAGAGAGGGAGAGAGAGAGAGAGAGAGAGAGAGAGAGAAGTTTGGCAAACCTACCAGCACGTTTCTAACTCATTAGCAGGCGGGACTTTTTTAGTAATTAGTAGAGTAGGTTTTTTAATACTGTTTTTAGCAAAAATACAGCTAGATTTTAAGTGAACAATTAGTAAATAAAAGCCTAAAAAAATTTTTAGTTGAAATTTTGGAGAAATCGGCCATTTTTGGTGGAAAAATCTACTTTTTCAGTTTTTTAATCAGAATTAAAGTTTTTTAGGACCAGTAAAAAGAATTTACAGCCACTTTTTCTATTTATATTAGAGAAATTGGATCTTCAGAAGAAAATTGATTACGGTCCTCAATAATGCGTGAGAGCCAAAACCAAATAATGTTTTTTTACAAATTGGTGTAAAAATTGCGGAAACGCTTTTAAAATAGTAAATGTCTAATTAGGGCCTGTGCCCCCCGCTAATGAACCAGCTTCCCAGCACGTGGCACGAAAGAATCTCTGCTGGTTGCCGTCTGATTTTTGAGCTCCGCCAATCGCTGAATTCCCAGACGAGTCACGAGTTGTGCTGGAGAAGAAAAAAAAAAGTCGAGTCGGAGATTCGGGTTGTTCTCCGGAATCCGTGCCTCTCTCTCTCTCTCTCTCTCTCTCTCTCT